AGAGGAGGATATTGGACTTGTCATTCATTAATGGTGTATCTTTCGTTTGCATTGTTCGGGCTTTTGGGCCGTGTGTTTTCCACTTCATCTCTCTAATAGAAAGTGAACATTTGACACTGGTTTTGAGTTTTGCAAACCTGCTGGATGAGTAGAGTTGCAATTTTTATTTATTTATTTATTTATTTATTTATTTATTTATTTATTTATTTATTTATTTATTTATTTATTTATTTATTTAACAGGGCCTTAAGGTCCTGGCTCCTTTCCATTCTGGGGAGCATCAGTCCAGTTCCTATTCCACCGGCAAGTCAAAATAGTTTTACAAATATGATATACTCACGCTTCCTTCCGTCTGGCCGAAGGACCCCTGATCAGCATTGATTACGCCAACCTAGTGGAGGATTGACTGTCAGCTTGAATCGAGTTGCAATTAAAAGCATTGGTTCCTTGAAATAGGTGGCGGTGCCATGAAAGGGTGGTGGTGTGTAATAAATTGTGAGGAAGGCAAACAAGTAATGTATTTTCAATAGTTTTCATTATCGAGATTCATTATTTCAGTTCTCCCTGATTCTTTTCCTGCTTCATTATAGAGATAATTATTTGAGTTTTCCGTGATTCATTTCCTTTTCATTATCGAGATCCTTATTTGATTTTTCTCTGATTCTTTTCCTTTCTTCTCCTCTTCCTTCGTCCCTGACTCGGCGTTCATCCTACGAATCTCTGGAGGGTGTGTGCTTATATTCCTTTACATACATGGCACTTATCCCCTTGTGTATTGTTAATGGAGGAGGTATGAAGGGTGCTGCTAGGGCACGACCGCCCGTCTATAGTGGACACTCTACATTTCCTGCGACAAGCAATACATAATGGCGCTCGCCGCTCACGTATTGCGTTCGATGGATTTGAACTTTGAAGCGATTCTTTTTTTCCTCCCTTCATTTCTGTTCTTGTTTAGAGTTATTTTCAGGGCTTCCAGGCATGAATGTCGTGCCCAGACATATGCCTTGCTGCCTGGCCGTGCAGGACCCCTGGAAGGGGTCCGGGGCCCGGGGCAGTCCCAGCACAAAATCAAATAAAAAAGAGGGTCCCCTGCAAACAACGTGTAGAATGCCATTTGGAAACTCGAAAGATTCTGGAAAGAATATGTATCTGTTAAGTTCTGTAGAATTGGAATGCAAACAACGTTTGACTGAGGGTCCCCTGAAAATTTATCATTGAATAGAAGATTAAAATTTAAAAAAAAAAAAAAAAAAAAAAAAAAAACGTATGCTAAGCCCATTGAAGCGTTGTTTATACCCCCCCCTTCTGCCTCCTTCCCCCCCCAGCGGACAACACTGAAAAACAAAAGAGATCCTGGATTTAGGCTGCTTCCGGTGGGTGCAGAAAAGCCCGGCCGACCAAGGGGGGGGGGGGGGGAGTTACCGCAGTTCTTACATACATGTCCAGGGTAACCCGGAGAAATCGACGGTCGGACGACCTGCACGGCCACCCGGCTGGGCGCCCCAGGTAACCTAGCCTTTTTCTCAGGAAAAGCATAGTGTTCTGTTCCTTACACTGGATGTATAGTGTGTGTAGTACTGTGTACTTATTCCTTTTCATACGTGTCACTTTTCCCTTCCCTTGTACGTCGTTAATGAAGGGGGGTTGGCGTCACGTGCGCTGCTGAGCAATTCCGGTCCGGAAGAGAATGGGCATTTTGGAGCAACCTGTGAAGCGTGGGATGGTGGCGATGCCGCAGATGCCACTGATTCAGACATGTCAGGCCGGCTCAGTTCCGTTGAAGAAGTTTCGGGGGCGCTCTCGCAGGACGGAAGTGCAAGGCCGAGCAGGCGGTCTAAGAATAAGGGCAAGGGTAAATTTCCTGCCTGGAGTGGAATATTTAAAACGAGCAAGAAGTCGTCGTCAACCTCTGCAGACACTGCAAATGGGATTCCCACTAACGTGGGAGGCACCTGGTTTCCAGACACAGAAGCTTCAAAGGCCATAATTAAGGAGCAGAGAGCAGCAGGCCATTCGTCAAGTGGTGCTGCCTGGTCATCACAAGCAGACAGAGGCTCATCAGCTGGGAAGGGCGCTAGCGAGGCAGTGCTTCTGGCATCCGCAGCAGTTGTTGCAGGCTCTCTGGCATCTGGAACAGTTGCTCAGATGAAGAGCAGGGATGCAGACGTCAGTGATCTGACAGAGTCTTCAGGTGAGGGCGCGCCGCAGAGAATTACATGTGTGTGTGTGTGTGTGTGTGTGTGTGTGTGTGTGTGTGTGTGTGTGTGTGTTCATTCCCAATCTGAAAGCCGTCTTTGCCTGGAGAATGAAGAAGTGAAAAAGCTGCTATTGCTGACAATGGCATGACCTGAGCATGTCCTTTGGGCCAAGCGTTAGGATTGGAATGATGCAGAGAAGATTAGCATGGCCCCTGTGCAAGGGTTGGGCCCACCCGAGGGTGGGTAGCCTAAATCGTATGTGTTCATATAGTCCGGACTCAGTAGGCTCTTCCTGACCAGATTCAGGGAGATGCCAACCTTTGCTTGGCGCAATGAATATGCCCCTGTGCAAGGATGACATGCTTCGATTGAGAAATGTCCAAGGGACCAATGGGGCTACAGTCTTCCCCCGAATACAACGCACGGTCATTATCGTCGAATTTGGTCTATCTTTCAGTCTAAATTCAGCTATAATGACCGTGCGTTGTATTCGGGGGAAGACTGTAGCTCAGTTGGTACACCCATGAACTGTTGATTTACAGACCGGAGTTCGAATCCAGATGCCACCGGGTGACCAGAAAAAAATCAAATCGTTCTGAATTACTTGCGACCGGTAAGTTCAATGATGATATCTCAAGGCCGTCGCCCTTTGAAAGAAAAGAGGAGAGGGGAAGGGAAAAGAGAGAAATGTCCAAGGGTAGTGAAATTGTGTAGTGAAAGTGCAAGGGTCCCACTTCGATCAAATGGAGAGTGGGGAAACACAGGTGACGTTTCTTTCGAGAAGATGGTATCTGGCGCTGATGTCGATGCTCAGGCGAGAACAGGTATAGGAAAAGCGAGATTTGGTGCAGGGAAGTAGAGAGAGGCAGATGCACGACGTGCACAAATGAATGAGATAAATACCGCACACTGTGAGTCTCTTCTCTGGAACTCGTTCAACTGCACAGTATTCGAAAGGTACCTGGACCATGAGCTCGTTCAGTTACGTTCACAATATGGGACCGTCGCAAATGCATCTGGTCCATGTTGCATTCATGTTGAATGTTGAGTAGTGGAGCGAGGCGCTCTGATCCTAAGAATCCGCTGGCACAGCTCTGTTTGCACATGGAGATGGCTATAACTCGAAGAATCCGCTGGCACACGACGAATCGGTATTTGAAAGGCAAGGACGAGTATCATACTCGAAGAATGTCTTCTTCCTTCCTCACTTTTTCATTTGTAGGGAAATGGCGATGATGGTTTTCTGTCCCAACAAGTGTCGTCTGGTTGTTTAGAGAAGGGAAAGAGAATGCTCTTGTTGAGAAGAAAATGAAAGAGGAGAGGACGAGTGGTGAAGGAAGGAAAACGAGGACAAGAAAGTATAGTGTCATGTATGTCCTGGAAGATCGATTTGCAAATTTTGCGTGCTGTCTTCATGCCAAGAAGACGCAGCAGCTACTATCCTGACTTTTTGTGATGGTGTCTGTGTGTGTGTGTGTGCTGTGTGTGTGTGTATGTGTAGTGTCTGTGTGTGTGTGTGTGTGCTGTGTGTGTGTGTATGTGTAGTGTGTGTGTGTGTGTGTGTGTGTGTGTGTGTGTGTGTGTGTGTGTGTGTGTGTGTGTGTGTGTTTGTGTTGTATGTGGTGTGTGTGTGTGTGTGTGTGTGTGTGTGTGTGTGTGTGTGTGTGTTGTGGTGTGTGTGTGTGTGTGTGTGTGTGTGTGTGTGTGTGTGTGTGTGTGTGTGTGTGTGTGTGTGTGTGTGTGTGTGTGTGTGTGTGTGTGTGTGTGTGTGCGTGTGCTTGTGTGTGTGCATGTGTTAATGCTATTTTGGTAATCTCTTCAGGAAAATCAGGCCCATTGAAAGATCCAGCAATTCAGGTTCCACCGACATTTCGTGTCAATCAGTCTTCAGCTCTTCACTCGGAAAAGATGAAAGTTCCTGAGATTGTTCGCCACATGACAAGTGGCTGGCCAACTCCTGCAGTGGAAGATGATGTCATAATCGGATCTCTGGAGCAACCAGATGGGAGAGAAGTGCCAGTACCTGCATTTTCCGCACAGCAAAACGTTCCATCGCTGGCTGAGGAAAGAGTACGTAGAGAGGCAAGCAAGGGTAAAGCACTTTACCGATCTAATATTGACATTGTAACAGTCAACAAATCTTGCAAGGAACAAGACGTCGCTGCTGAGAGACGAGCTGGAGTGCAAGATGACGCCAACTCCTTGTTGGTGAATCCCGTCTCGAGGACTGCTGGTGGGACTGTCGTGGCGGGAACTGATGGGACGCAGGGGCAAGGACCAGGCAATAAGCGGCCAGATGAAAGGAGTGACACGATTTCCGGAAGCAGTGTCGGCCCGCCGCCGACAGCAGATTCGGCGAAGCCGGAATCCTCTTGTGGTCATCCGAATGCACTTCCCGGGGCCAGCAAGGGGGGGGAAACTGGTGATCAAGCCGATGACAAAGTTTCGGCAGGCAAAGACGCGGCTGCAAACAGAGAGTCGGATCACACCGCCGACGCGGCATCGAACACTCTTTACGAATTGACTCTCTCCGCCAACTGCAACAAGCTCGTCAACTCTTCAGATATCAGCGGATTCAAGCTCGTTCCAATTGCGTGCACAGCTAATGCCGGAATGAAACGAAAGGGAAGGATGAAGAAGGAAAAGCGGAAAATCCCGTTCCCCTCGACTAGCAGGAAGCTTCAGAAGACGATGGGTGATGTGCCAGCCCCTCCACCACAGGCTGTTGCTCCTAGACACCAAAGTGCATCTCCACCTTCAGGAGAGTCGGCGGTATCCAAGGGTTCACGGCGTTCAGAGGCTTCAGGAGAGTCAGTTGAATGGACGCATCACTCGGTCAGTTCGACGTCGGGGAGAACCCAGCCCACTGAGCGATTTGGTCCTGGGACAGTTGCCGCTGCCACAGCAGTAGTAATTGCCACAGGCATGGAGGCTTCTGTCGCACTTTGTCTAGGTAGGTGTCCATTGAGTACCATGAACTGTATGCTCATCACACTGTCTGTACGATCACCATGTTTGTCGTTGTCGAGTCGCTCCTACTCACACATGATACTTTTTTTTTTTGTAATTTTAAAGCTAGCGACCTCCATGCATGATACCTTCCACCGCATAGGCTTCAAAAGTGACACGAAAAGAAAGGGAAAAAGTATGATGCATCTTTCTGGTACACAAGTAAATGTGACTAAAATTTAATAAATCAATTTGTAAATATAAATAAATAAATAAGAATAGATTTCTTGTACAGGAATGATACACACTTGTAGATTTTGACTGCTAAGATGGAGGTTCCAAACTCGTAGAACAAGCTACGTCAACGCTGACCCTTCGATTGGCTGTCTAGAATTCTGTAACATTTTTTGTAGGCTTACGAGTGACAGAAAAAAAAAAAAAAAAAAAAAAGTTGCCCAGATGTTCCTACATTATAACTACATCCTTTTTTCTTTTTTCTTTTTTCTTTTTTCTTTTTTCTTTTTTTTTAACGGAACCTTATGGTTCCGGCTCCTTATCCATTCTGAGGAGCGTCAGTCCGGTTCCTATTCCACCGGCAAGTCTGAAAAGAGTACAATGTATACACACTCACGCTCCTCCCCCGTGTGGTGTGGAGGCCCGAAGGACGGCATTGATTACTTCCCTAGGGAAGGATGTACCACCCTTCACCCCTGCCTACGTTAGCCTGTTTTACGGGGAACCTGTATTTCCCTACACTTACAGAAATCGCTATTCGGCGCGCAGCGTTTGGCCGATCCGGGCCGCCTGAGACCTACCGGCCGACGACCCGGATTTCCGCGCGATCTTAAGACTTCAAGACTTTAAGACTAAGATCGTGCGGCGATCCAGGCCGTTCGCGGTTGCACCTGCCCGACGGTCCAGATCGCCCCGCGATCTTAAAGTTTTAAGATCGCGGGCGAATCCGGGCCGTCGGGCCGTTTACGGCCCGGATTGCCGTGGTGCCTTGGGGAAATCGGTCCGAAAGGACCGTTGGCGGGCGGGCGGGAAAAGTACAGCCCTACACAACGCGACCTACCTACGCAACCTACGCGACCTACCTACGCAACCTACGCGACCTACCTACTCGACGCGACCTACGCTACGCTACGCGACCTACCTACGCGACGAGGCCTACCTACGCAACCTACGCTACGCTATGCAACCTACCTACGCGACGCGGCCTACCTACGCAACCTACGCTATGCGACCTACACGATGCGACCTACGCTACACGACGAGATCTACGCTACGCGTCCTCTCTCTCTCTCTCTCTCTCTCTCTCTCTCTCTCTCTCTATCTATCTATCTATCTATCTATCTATCTATCTATCTATCCATCTATCTATCTATCT